AAAAAAACTAAGTGTCTTATCAGCAAATGAGTAGATAAACAAAATGTGGTATATGCATACAATGGAATATTACTCAGCCTTAAAGAGGAAATGGACACATTCTATAATATGGATGAACCTTGAGGACATTATGCTACATGAAATAAGCCAATCACAAAAAGACAACTGCTCTCATTCCACTTATAGGAGGTATCTACAAAAGTCAAATTCATAGAGACAGAAAGTAGAATGGCGGTTGCCAGGGGCTGAAAATAAGGTAAGGGGAAATGGGGAATTAGTGTCCAATGGGTACAGACATTTGTGCAGATATTTGGGACTAGGGCAAAGCGGAGAGAAAGGAAGGTTCAAGTTCCAGACTGGGAATGGGACAAGGTGCTTCGTCCATTCCTGTTTTGTTCCTGCCTGATTTGGGATAGAAAGTGTCTCAAAGAGTTACAAGAGTATCAGTAGGAAAGCCGGTGGGAGAAACCAGAAAGGAGATTAAAAAAAAAAACCTCTTACGAGCAAGCAAGTAAGTATGGACATTGCCACACGGATGTCCTTGAGCAGTGGCTGGCTAAGGGCAACTCAGCTCCAAAAGAAGTTGCAGCTTCTGTGAAAAGTTTGTGAACCCCACCAATCACTTTCTATTCCGTTCTGATTAAAAATGATTACGCAGCTTGGCAGGCCCGGTGGCGCACTAGGTAGAGTGCGGCACTTGGGAGCGCAGTGGCGCTCCCGCCGAGGGTTCGGATCCCATATAGAGACTGGTCTGCTCACTGAGTGAGCGCGGTGTGGGCACGACACCGAGGGTTGCGATCCCGTTGCTGGTCGCAGTACGGGCGCGACACCGAGGGTTGCAATCCCGTTACCGGTCACGAAAAAAGACAAAAAGGAAAAAAAAAATGAGTACGCAGCTTGATCCATCTTCTTCATCAGATTTGGCTTAAGCCAACTTGTGACTCTAAAACTCAAATGCACCCTCAGAGGAAGAACATTTACAATCCTGAGAATATGCCCAAGATGATATCACCTTCAACACTAATGAGGCTACCCTCAAAGGCTTCTGAACAGAGAGAACCAATGAAGTGAGCGCGTAATCCCACAGTGAGATTCCTCAAAGCTCATCAAGACGTGCCGGCTGTGGAATGTCTATTTAAAAACGAGGAGTGCTTTTTATACTCTTCCATCAGGGAGAGTCAGGTGTAGAGCAGGGCCGACTCACATCCCAACACAGGTCAAGGGTCTGACTTAAGAGGGGATGATTCACACCCTTGCCAATATTCAGGACTTGCTCCTTTACTTTCGTGCCCTCAGTGCCTGGGTGGGCTTGACCCCATGGAACCAATTACTCATTCATCCACCAGATGTCACAGCCACCAGGTTATGCTGTGGTCTCCTTTGAGGACCTTCTCTCACCGTACTAGGATGAGTGGAAACCATCAAGTAGGGAATGTGCCCCTTAACTCAAACAATGACTGCCTCACCCTGCAGGCTGGGCCTCTTTAGGGCAGGGTACCAAGGTGACCCTTCCTTCCTGCCGCCCGCCAAGGCTGGTGTGTTCCTCTGTGCCCAAACCTGCTGAACCTGGCAGATCCCATTGTGAGGTATTGGTTTCTGCCAGGTTTTCCCCAGTGAGGGCAGAGGAGGCATGGACTGGGTCCCATCCCATGTCTAGAGAGAGCAGTACAGTCACTTTCCCCTGAACCTTCTCTTGAGGTCATAGCAGCACCTGGCTCTGGAAGGTAACACTGCAGGAGCAGATAGGGATCAGAGGCGGGGGCGGCTGCAGGGGCTCAGTGCTCCTCCTGCATCCTTAGACAAGAACAGGAACAGGGACCGGAGATCTAACTGTGCCAAGAAAATCCCAATCCTGGGTTCTCAAATCCAAATGCAGAACCACAAACCAAGGGAAAAAATTAAAAAACTGAAGTCTTTTTTTCCCTCACAGCTAGTTCCAGTGATGTTTATTACTCAGCCTGAACCAGAATAACATCAGACAACAATAGAAAGAGCCTCTGGTTTTACAAAGCCTTTGTACAAGTCCTCTCTGCCTTTTCTGTTTGTGTCAGGGAACCTTGCTGGTGCTGGGTGTGGAGGGATCCCGGATGATCCCAGACAGAGCAGGGCCTACAGGGAGGGACACAGGCTGGACACCAAACTGAGACAAGAACCAGAAAAAGCCAGGCAACTTGTGGTAACTCAGGGTTTTATGTGCAGGAGTGAACTGCTAGGATCCTGAAGAGACCACCCCCAGCCTGGGGGCTGATCCAGTCTAGAAGGACATTTAGCCACATGGCAGCAGGGCCAGGGCCCTCCCCAGGCACAAAAGCTGGGTGGGTGGAGGATTGTGCTACCTTGCACTTGGCCGAGGGAAGAAGCCTTGCATGGGGAACTCTTTGGGGCCTCTGCCCCCAGGGGCTGGAGCAGCCGGGAGGAACAGGTTGTGGGGCAGCAGGCTCTTCGTGCCCACTCATTGGGCACCCCAGGAATCCTGCCTGCAGTCACTGGCCACTCACAGCAAGGGGACCTTTTTTCCCTACCCTGGAGGTACCTGGGGTCCCCAGCAGCAAAGCATGCCCCTCCTTTTCCTAGTGAACAGCCTTGGTGCTTCTCCTTAGAGATTTTGTCACCAAGGATTCCTGCAACAAGGGTGAAGCCCAGCCAGCTGGAAGAGACTCAGAGGACTTGGCAAAACTTGTCAATATTCCTGAGATGGGGAGGGGAAGGGCTGAGGAATGCCTCCGCTTTCCAGGTCAAGCTGGCCCAGCCCAGAGGCCAGCTGCTTTTTGGAGCCCAAGGTCACTACCGTGCTCTGCAATGTCACTCTGAACCATCCTGGATTCTGTTCTCCTGATCCTCTCATGCAGAGGGTAGGCCAGGCCCTTACCCAGGTCCTCTGACTGGCAGATGGTGCCACGGTGGTTGCTATCTCAGGGGCTGCTTGAGTTCGAACAGGCCCGTCCCGCCCTTGACGACCTTCCCGACCACGAGGCAGGCTGAAGGAGACCTCAGCTCATCATGGGCTCCTGTGAGAGACACAAGAGTATGTGGCAGGTGGTTCAGGATGGAGCTGGGGGTTCATCACTGAGGTGGTGTGGATGCAGACCTCAGAGGCCCCAAGGACTGGGTCTCTGAGGCAGATGAGATTACACGACGCTACACTGCTCCTGTGTTTGAAAGACAGGAAGGCCCTCTCCTGCTCCTTCAAATGCAGAAGTAGCTTTCCCGTTTGCTGCCCACCCCTCCCACTAGTCCCTCCCAGATTCCAAGATCTTGCTCCTGTGCTGTGCAGAGCGGAGCCAGGAGAGGGAAGGCCAGGGCACCTACTATGCACTGACCCATCAAGGTGGCTTGCTTCAGAAACTGGAAGCTGGTTTCAAACGTCATCTGCTGTAGAGGGGAGGAGTTGGACCGGATCCCATAGCGATTCAGTGGCTTATAAACACCCTCGAAGCACATATAATCAGCGACCAGGGAGAGATGGCGAGGATCGACAGCGATGCCTGTCACATAGGCAGTACATAAGGAAAGATTAAGCAGAGACAAGGGGAACAGTTAGGGAAGTGTCACCTGACACAAGCCAGGCTGCTTCCAGGATCCTGGGCTCCCTCCAGGTTGGCCACCTACTCATGCAGCTACTTAACCCTTACCCCTGGCTTGGGATGTCCCTCCATAATCCCTGCACCCAACTTCCCACTCCTGTCCAGCAGCACAGGAAACAAGAATCTAACTGCACTGCTTCCATTTGGGAACGAAAACCACAAAGGTAGGATGGGGCCAAGTCATTGGACGGGAGCTTCCTCAAAGAGACAGGAAACCACTGAGTGGTGATGGGGGCTGCCACCTCTTCACGTTCCCTCTCGGGGATTCCTGGAGACCTGCAAACACTTACCGCACCCACGTATTAGTTCCCACCTCAGTGCTAGACAGTCATGGTCCTGACCCTTGTCCCTTAGCTGTCTGGTGTTCTGACTAGTGCTGGGACCTCCAGGGTGTTGTGTGCACACTCCTCTTACCGTACACTGCAAACACGTCTTTGATCTCCTTCTCGATCACCCTCAGTGCGGCCTCGATGCCATATGTGTTAGCCATGGCATGAATGTCATTGGAATAGAGGCGGCGCAGATCCAGAATCTGGAGAGAGGAAGGAAGGGATTTAGAGAGCCTGGCCATCTGCTCCCTTCTGTCCACATATCTCACCCCAGCCACAATCTCTCTCCTTGTGTCTGGCAGCTGAGTACAGCTGATGACAAAGCAGTTGAGAGGTGGCCCCGGATTAGCAAAAGGAAATGCTCTAGGCACAACTGTTGATGGCATGCTGGCTGGGCCCCAAGGTCTGTCTCGCTGTCACTACCAGAGTCCAGAGATGACTTGGGAGATGCTTTAGATTCAATAGAGAGACCCATTTACTAGGATTGGAGATTCCCTTGAGAGATGACAAAAGATCCCCCAGCAGAGACACTTTAAACGCCCCCCCAGGACACATGGAGCAGGGAGAAGTCAGCTCCAAGGAATGCCAGGTGTGGAGCACCAGGTTTGGGCACTGCCACTCCCAGGGCCTCCTTTACCAGATAAAGCTAGCAGCAGCCAGGCCAGCAATGCAGCAAACTATTTCTTCTACTTTGGGAAGATTTGAATTTCAAGGAAAAAAATTTTACTCAAATTAGTCTGGGAAACTCTGGGTTAGATAAGTTCAGCAGGTTTCTGTACTGCAGGCCTTAACAAGGCTAATGTGCACCGTGAATCCCAGGAAGCAGGCTATGGCATGCACACCTGGTTTGGGGAACACGGGCCAGAATAGATTGGCTAGAGACTTGCATCCAAGTGGCTGAGTCCTGAGACAACGTGAGGTCAGGGTTACTACTGTCCAAGGCCAGCAGATGGCCCAGAGAGAGAGAGACATACTTCGTTGTACTTAAACAGCTCCGGGAGGTTGATTCCTTCTGTGTTTAGCACAAACTCCTTCTCATTCTTGCTGTTGGTGGTTTCATTCAGGAGGCACCGAGTGATGCCCTTGGTTGCGTAGATGACAGCATCATGAGCCAAAGACACTACCAGGGAGCTCATGTCGAAGTTCATCTTGATCAGAGGGAGCTTCAATGTCACCTGCAAGAGGAGGGAGGGAGAGCTGGGCCAGGGGAGACAGCCACCCCCAACCTGCAGGAAGAGGGCAGAGGCCCACGGGCCAGGCTCTCCAGCAGACTCCTTCAAAACCTTCTATCACCCAGGCTGGGGGATGGTGCTCCTCCTGGGTGAGCTGGCAGGTGGTTCTGAACACTGGGTGGTTTAATTGACCACAGAGTCACTCAGATTCCAGGTGGATACAGTGCAGCTGCGTTTTTGCAGATGTTGGTGAGAATGCTGAGACTCATGTCTGCTCAACATCCCCATTACTGTCCTTTCAGTGACCACAAAATAGTGTCTGTGTTTTGTGTGTGCGATCCCATCAGTGATCCTTGTTATCGATACTACGATTTAGGAACCACTGAACTGGATCAAAGGAAGACAAAGAGTAAGTGTGTGTAGGTGTCTAGGCATCCAAACCATCCAGCCTCGAAAGGAACTATGACGTCTCCAAGAGGACGGCGGCTGGGGCTGTGTGTGGAGAGAACCAAAATGCTCTTCCATGCTGGAGAACGAGGCCTCCACAGCAACAGTTATGTTAGTGCATTTGTTGTACTGAGGATTAAATGAGGCGATATATTTGAAAGTACCAGTATCGGGCCTGGCCGGTGAGACCCATGTATACACTATACAGTACCTTTGGAAAATCAGAGAATTGGCTCACTAAGGGTTTGAAAGTAACATGCATGAGGCTGTGCTTTGGGGCAGAGGGTCTACAGTCATCACCAGATTCTTAAAGGGATCTAGGATTCAAAAGTGAGCAAGGGACTCTCAGAACAGAAGGCGTGAGTGTGCTGAGGAGGCAGGAGATGGGAAGTGAGGCTGCCCCCGGCTTGCTGTGCTGGGGGGCTCAGCAGCAGGTTCCGTCCACACAGCTCACTGACCTCGCACCACAGGCTATCCTCAGTGTCGTACTGGTAGTTCTCTATGAACTGGTGGGCTTCACGCACGGCCTGGACCCTGCGCTCCACGGCCTCAGCTCCCTGGGGTGCCCGACTGCGGGAGGGTTTCCAGGAGGGCGAGGTATCTTCAGGGCCTGAACCCACGTCTTCATCCTGCTCCTGGGCCCTGTGGGAGCCTTCACCATGGACACCCCTCTCCTCCTGCACGTCCTCATCCTCGTTCTCCTCTCCCTCCTTCTCCTCCTCCTCCTCGCTCTCATAATCAACCTGGCAGGAAGCGGAGCAGAGGCTGTGTCACCCGAGGCCCCACCATCTACCCAGACTTTGCCTGGGGAACAAACGCCCCTGCAAAGGCCTGGCCCAAAAGGCCCACCTGTTCCACACCCCTGGCTTCTCTGCTCCTGCCTGGGCTGCCTTCCTCCTCCCTCCCTTTGGCCATTCCCCTGGAAATGCCATCCCTTTGTCCCAGCATGTCTGCCTCTGAGATAGAGCTCACCCACTCACCTGGGCTCTCTGACCCACCAATTCCCTCAGTCCCTCTAAACTGCCCTTTGTCCCTGCCACAATTATGACAGTATGGGACTAGTTTGGGGAGGGGAGGGAGGTATTATATTTTCATTGTAAAAACGAGCAGCAGCCTGACTTCTCCTTGCCAGAGGCCTCTCTGGTCCTCCTGTCTGATTCATATCCAGGGATAGCCAGATCCAAACGGCAGCCCCGGGATGGCCCCCTGCCAAATTCCTGCCCTAGAAACCCCATCATCTTCTCAGGGGCTGGGCAGGCAGGACTTGCTCCAAGGTCCCTGGTGGGTTACCAGCATGACAGAGGTATGGTTTAGGTGCCAGGGGACAATCCCTCAGGTATGACAGAGGAGGAGGGCATGGCCACAGCCCCCTCACCTCCTCCTCTTGCTTCTCCTTGCGTTTGGCATCAGAGGCATCAGCATCCCCCTCCTCGGCTTCAGCATCCACAATGTGCCCCTCCTCGTCCTCATCACCTTCCTGCTCTCCCTGTGGTTTGGAGACAGGGAGAAAGAAGATTAGCTTCAATATCCAGTGCTTGAGGATCTATCTATCCACCCACCATCCTATCCATCCATCCATCCACCCTTCCACTACCCTCACCCATCCAGCCACTACACACACCTGCCACCTTCCAACTGTCCATCCACCCCCCTTCTATCAATCACCTTCCCTCTACCACTCACCCAACCCAACCCACCAACCCAGTGTGTATGCATTCTAGCCCTTGAATCCAGGCCCCCGACCCTTCAGTATTCATCATTACAAGTACCACTTGCAGTCTTTCATTTTTCTAAATTAAGGAAAAGTCCCAGGGTTTTCCAAGTCATTAAAAAAAAACAGTATAAAATACTGTTCCAAATATTTTTGATTTACCCCAGTTGTAGATGGGAATGAAAAGGATGGGTTGTCTCGGTGGAATATTGACCATTTTAAAAATCAGATATTTCTATCTTTCTCCTCCTGCCCTTGGCTCCTAGTTTCTTACAGTTTCTTTCTGGGTGAAATAAGAATTAAGACAGGGCAGCGTTCCAAAGACAGCCCATGCCCGCTCGTGCATGAATTAAATCAATGGGTAAATCCGCAGGGCAGGAGAGATCCAATATTTTTTCTGGTCTAGGCCAGCTCCTCATTTTAGGGGTGAGGAGACAAGGCCAGAAAGGGGTAACACAGCTGAGACCACAGAGCCAGGCAGGGGCAGTCCCAGTCCGCATCACGCCGCCCTCACCCAAAAGGCTCAGTGCGTCGGCACAGCCCTACAAACTGCTGGCTCTCATGGCACCTGGGACCTGCCTCACACCACTCTCAGGTCTGACCTACTCCTGGGTCCCCTGGCAGATATACTATCATTATCCTGGGTTTTTCCCCTCCTCCAATCGTTTTTCCTGCTCCTTCCCTTTTTGTCACTGTGGCAAACACCTCGTGTTTCCCAATACCTCTCTGGTCCCTGCCAGTGCCCAGGGGGGCCTCAGGTCATCTGGCCTGGGGTGGTTAAAGGCAGAGCAAAAGGAAACCAGAAAAAGAACTTTCAAAGGCTCAGTGCACACCATTACTTTGAGCCTCCCCTCAGAATGAAATCCACTTATAGAAGGGTCCTCGAGAGCAGAGGGATGATGTCCTAAGGCCTGACCAGGGCCCACCAGACCATGTTGTCTGGCAACCTCCTCTGCCCAGCCCATCATGCTCAAGAAGTCACTGGTGCCTCCTGGCTCTCTCAGAACTGCAGATAAATGCTAAGGTAAGTGAGAGATGGGCTGACACCAGGCTAGGGCTTGAGGAGCGCAGCGAACAATCAGAGAGCCTTCCCAGGACAGAAGCCCGAGCCAGCCGACACCCTACATGCTTCCCAGCCTGGGGACTCTCCCTGAGCAGGTTCCCGAGGGACCCCTGGGGGACTTACCCGATTCCTCCCTGACTCTCCCACGTTGTCTAGATCCCGCTGTGTAGCTCTTCGAGTGTTTACGCTTCTGAAGGCTGAGGCTTTATTATTCTTCTTTCTGATGGCTTCCATCAGAAGTTTAAAAAATCTAAAATGAGAAGAAAGCCATGCAGTCCCACTCAGTACCAGCATGTCCAGCCCTCCCCTCATTTTGGGGGTAGGATGTTGAGAGATTCCCATAGGAGATTAATACACTATTAATACATCCTCTCCTCTGCACTCACTTTCCCCTCCTTGCCGTTCCTGCATGGCACTTGGCATGTCAGAAAGAACAACTCCAAAGCCCAAAAGGCCTGGTCTGAACATGCACTCTGCTGCTCCTAGGGTACACAGCTTTGAGCATGACAGACAGCTTCCTGACCCTTAACTGCCTTATCTGGAAAATATGGGTATTAATATGCATCGTGCAATAGGATTAGAAACAACCCCAGGTCTGATAACTCTCACAGGGCCTGGCAGAGGGGATGCTCAGTAAATGACAGGTGTTGGTACCACTGGGGTTGTCGCCTAATGAACCCAGCCCGGGACTAGAACTTTCCCCGCCTGCCACCTTTAGTATCTCCAGAAAGTGGCCAGAGAGCTCTTATCTCCTTGGTGTAGGAGCCCTGACAAAGTGATGAAAGAGCGAAGACTTTGGAAGAGTTCATCAGAATTTCAAAGGGCACTGGTAACTTACTCTGTGGCCATGAGTCATGTCAACAGGTCAGAACCAAACCAATTTAAAAGAACAACCTGAAGCTCAAGCCTGGGAGGCCTTTCCTGGCCCTTTGCCCCTTCTCCTGAGTTATCTATTTTAGGGTCCCTTGGGGTCTACCCTGTCCCCCTCCACACTGCTTTTCTCACATAACTTCATGTGTCTTCTTCATTAGTCCATTACAGTATACCAAAATGGACTGCTGTCAACTGTACAAAGTACCAGGTCCCCAGCCAGCCAACTGTATTCTTGGAGCTCCTGTCTTGTACCCTTCTTGTGCTAGCCTGGTGGGGTGCAAAACAAGGATGAGAAGATGGGCTCCTGGCCCTTAAGGAGCTTATAGTTTTAATCTGAAAAGCAGGCAGGTCAAATATTTACTATTTTGCTCATTAAAAACAAAAGAATGCCACTCTCCATCCCCATTATTTTTTTTTTTTTCCTTTTTGTCTTTTTTCGTGACCGGTAACGGGATCACAACCCTTGGTGTTGCGCCCGCACCGCGCTCAGTGAGCGGACCGGTCTCTATATGGGATCTGAACCCTCGGCGGGAGCGCCACTGCACTCCCAATCGGCGCTCCCAAGCACTGCCGCGCTCCCAAGCACTGCACTCTACCGAGTGCGCCACCGGGCCGGCCCCTTCCCCATTATTTTTTCTTTAACTTTTTAAAGTTGCATATGGTTTTACAGAGGTTTCTGCCCTTGGCAGAACACAGGCTCCTTTCTCACCCATTAACCCAGTGAAGGGCTTGTTAACCAGGTGCTAGGGACAGGGACAGGCAGGCCAGATGAAAGGAGGCCAGGTCTGATTATAGAAACATACAATCCAACTGGGAAGAGGGGGTGGGAGAAATGTTTCTGAAAGGACAGGCTTAAGTTCAAGTCCCCCTTCTGCCACAGACTGGAGAGGAGGGCCTTGGTCTCACCTGTAACATGGGAACACTCACCCTGCGCACAAGGCTACTGCGCAGAGCAGAGGGGATGGAATGAGATGGAGAGGGGTGTGGGGGGCTCGGCTGCTGCCCGCACATAGGCTGCTTCCCTCTGCTGGGGGTTGCTGTTCCACCTCATCAGGTGCCCTTAGCCTATCTCAATTTGTAGTGATGTCATGGCTCTGAGGCTCTTCTCCCCAGCATTTCGCAACTGGCCTCAACCCCAAAGGCCTGGCTGCTCCCACCCCATGCACCCTTTGGGTCTTCGCTCAAGCTGTTCACTCTGGCAGCAAATTTGCCAGCCTATATCTACCTGCTGGAGCTATACCGCCCTTCAAGGCTGGGTCTAAGAGTAGATGTAACTCCTCCAAGAAGACTTCCCTGGTTCTCCCAGTTAGAATCCTTTCTACCTTGCCTGCCTCTTCTGGTGACCAAGACTGGTGAAGAACGTAAGAGAAGATGAAAAAGTAGAAGAAACACCTGGTCAGTAAGTGGGAGACATGTTACCAGTGTGCCAGAGCTTTCCTAGAGGTACAAACAATTTGCCCTTCTGTGACTTTGCCAGGAGGAAGGGACCTGATGGCCCACAGTGACTACTTTCTGAAAGTTGTGCTATTTGTAAGAATGTAACACCTGAAAGGCAACAGGAGGGGTAGGTGGCAGAGAAACCTCCCATCCCATGTAGTTAATTACAGAGAGCACAGCCCTCGGCTGTTTCAAGAAGTGCCCGGCAACAGCTCCACCACCAGCTGTTTGGAAAGTTAAATATATGGACGCTGTAATCGCAGAGACTGCTGACTTGGCCATTTCACAGCCGGGGACCAGAGGATAGAACTTAGAGCCCCAATTCCAGTCTCAGTGCTTTCCCACTTCACCTCCCTGGCCCACTTTCCAGATAATGTGCACAAATATTCAGAGTGATGGGTGCTGTACAGACATTTAGGGGACTCTTGACGCTTGTACATCTCTATCCAGAGGAGCACCTGTCTGTTCTTTTTTTCCCTCCAGTTTGTGTCAGAAAGTCTCATGATCCCACAGCTGGCAGAGAAAGAGGAGAAGAAAGGGAGGGAAGAGGAGAAGGGAAAGAAAAGGAGATGGCAGAGAAAGGAGGGAAAAGGCAAGGGGAGGGAGAAAAAGCTGCTTGGGGGAAGGGCGACTCTCCCAAAAGCACACTCACACTCCCTTCCATTTACTGTGGCTGTCAGAGGCCTAACGTGGCTGCTCTCTGCGGGGCCCGATAAAGGGAGGCCAAACCGTACCCCAGTGCACATACCGCTCCATCCTGCTCGAGTCAATAAGACCACATCACTGAAGCTACTGCACGTGGCTTTGTGTATCACAGCTTTTCAAGTGCATGAGCAAAACAGAGTAGGAGTAGAAAAAGCACTTCACTGCTGGGAACAAGCCAGGGCATGCCTCGGCTGACCTCCCCGCCGGGCAGGGTGGGTCTCAAGAGAGGGAGAAATGGGGCCCGCCGTCCAGCCCTGCCAGTCACTAATTCTCAAGAGGCCATGTGATCCCAATTCTTAGGAAAGGGCCGCCAGGCCAGCACAAACAGCCGCCGTACTTGGGAGTTATGCTCCTCACCGTTAATTAACGAGCCAGCAGGCTGGTACACATACTGCTCCTGTCACTTTGCCCAGTGTCCCAGAAAACATGGAGGACTGCCTGAGAGAACAAATCTTCTGAGCTAGGCGGGCGCTGACATGGCTGCCCCCCAAGGCCCAGCCAGCAACTTTACCCAAGGATCATGTCAACTAGGCAGGATCTGCCTGGCCAGTGAGCCCTGTCCAAAGGGCTAAGTTCACATCCAAACTCATCCACCCAAATACCCACCATCCTAAACACCATCTGCTTAGGGCTTAGAAGGCCAGCCTGAAGCCAGGCCACATTTTCTGTTGAGAGGGAAGAGGGCGAGGCCAGAATAGTCACTCTCGTGGCCACGCCTGCTCCCATGACTCAACGGCAAATGGGTACCGCTCAGTAAATGTCTGTGGATGGCCGGGCACAAGGGGAGCCTTCTGCCTCTGCTCTGCCATCAGTTCAATACATCTGAGCAGCTCCAGGAAGACCTGAGAGCTGGTCTAGATTACAGGCAGCGGGCAGTGTCCTGTGACCGAATCCTGCCAACAATGGGAACTATCTGGGCCTTACCAGGCTTTTAAACACATATGAATAATTGCCACTGTTTAAAAGTTAAGAGACTTCTTTTTTATATAAGCAAAGCAACCAACTAAAAGACCAAAGACAGAAAAAACAAGAGGGAGGCTTTTTTCCTTTTTCTTTTAAATGGGAAGATCTGGCCACTGTGGCCCACATTTCTGCACGGTGAAAGCTGCCGCCTTGAGAGAGGCTCCACACTATGCAGCCTGCTGGGGCCTCCCCGGCTTCAGAGCCTCTGTGACCTGCCAGGCTCTGTAGCCACTTGATTTTACACTCCACTGTCTAGAGTCCAAAGTGCTTCACTGCTCTTCCTGCTTTCCCCAGTCCCAAAAAGTCTATCCTCCTGCTCCCATGCACTAAGTACATGGCCTGTGCTCGTCAAATATCTAACAGTAAGTTGAACTCAAAAGAAAAAGGATGTAAGTTCTCCATATCAGATGGGAATGAGAATTTCTTCATAAGAAGCTGGGGAAACCCTGGTTACAGAACTAGAGTTTAAGAGCAGCATGCCATCAGTACACTGCTCATTAGTGAGAGAATATACACATGTCAGGAACCACACTGTGCTGCCTGGAATCGCATCCTATCAAACATCAATGCCATATGCTGTGAAGGGGCTCCCTTCTCTCTCTTTTTATGATGGCTGGCTGGTACAGGGATTAAACCCTGGACCTTGGTGTTATTGGCACCACACTCTAACAAACTGAGCTAGCAGGACAGCCCGGGGCTCCCTTCTTGCTACTGTCCACACACTTTCACATCGTAACACCTAAGAGCCTGAGAAAACAACAATCTTGACCACTAACCCAAGAGAGGAAATGGGTTCAGGGAGTGATGTGAGGCTACCAAAGTCACATCCGCAAAGCTGGACTAGGCTTTAGGGCCTGCTGTTTTCCTGAATGGTTCCCTTGAAGGGTCCATTTGGGCAAATGTGTCCAATCTCTAGGAGCCCTGCGACCAGGAGTGCTCTCCGGGTCAAGGTCAATGAAAAACATGGCCTGAGCCCTCACTTTTTTTCCATGAAGTGCAGGATATCCTCAGGTCTCAGGCACTTCTCCTGCTGGTAATATGCATATGGCAGGAACTGAAATCGCAGCTGGTAAACCCGGAATTTGTTCTGTTTTTCTCCCATACAGAAGGACTCCTGGACATCAACTCTCTGCAACACCTAGGACCAGATGGAGAGATAAACTCGACTTGTCCAGGTCCCAGGTAACTGTTACCACAAGGGGGTTATGGAAAACCCAAGGGTTTGGGGGGACAGTAGCTGGGGCCACAAGCCCAAACCCCAAAGAAACCCCAGTGAGCTCTGCAAGTGTGGATCTCTCAGGGGCCCTTAGTCTGCAAGTCGCCTCCACAGAATGGCCCGAGCTTGCAAGGAGCGGGCTCCAGTGGAGCTGGTAAGCTAACCCAGGAAGTGTTTTCATTTTATTTTTTAGGCACATGAGGATGCTGTGGAACTAATGATTATCTTAAAAGCATCTTGATCCATCCCTGCTGAGCACCTGGTGGAGACAGCTTATGGTGAGAGCACTGGTGGGAATCTGAGCCAGGGGCTGGGCAGTCAGCACAGTCTATTCTTCATGGACAGTGGGGGACATGGGCAGCCACCTCCACCCAGCCTGCAGCTGGCACAAGAGAGACAGTTACCTCCCCTAAGCACACCCTGGTGAGCTGCTTCTTCAGGCTCCGCACTCTCCTCAGTGCTTTCCTGGTGTTGACCACGGGCACACTCATCATGGGCGTCTTGATGTTGGCGCTGGCCACCATGAGGATCTCCCTCAACCTGTCACAGACCAAGGGCACATCTGGTCATGAGAGGTCACCAGACCTCCTGTTTGTGGGAAGCTTCTTCTAAAGAGGTTAGAGCTCTTCCGGGATCCGAGAAAGGCCCTGGGATCTCACAGGGGAGC